CTCTTCAACCTGCTGCATCTCCGGGTTCCCCATCCCTAGCTGGTGGGTTGTGGTGTCAGTGCAGCTTATTCCTTGAGCCTCCAGAGGATCAGCACAAACCCCTGCCTTTGGAGCTGACCCTGCTTGTATAAAAACACCAATAGGGCTTCCCTGGTGGTGCAGTGGTTGAGAGTCCGCCTGCCGATGCAGGGGACACGGGTTCGTGCCCCGGTCCGGGAAGATCCCACATGCCGTGGAGCGGCTGGGCCCGTGAGCCATGGCCGCTGAGCCTGCGCATCCGGAGCCTGTGCTCCGCAACGGGAGAGGCCACAGCAGTGAGAGGCATTTAATACAACAACTCTGTGTGGAAGTACTCTTAGTCCCATTTTACAGATGAGGAGACTAAGGCACAGAGAAGTGAAATGACTTGCCCATGGTCACAGAGCTAGTAAGTGGCAGAGCTGGGATGTGGACCCAGGGGCCCTTAAGTCCATGCTTTTCACCATTGTTCTCCTCCATCTCCTGTCCTCTCTGGGCTGAAGCTGAGAGGAGCAGAGGTGTCCTTGCTTCCTCTCTGTACTCTCCTTCGGCCATAGTTAGCAAGCCCGGGGTCACAGGTGAAGGGAGACCTTCTCTACTTTCTCAGTGATTTGGGAAATTGCTATGCTCATTGGGAGCTAAGGGACTTAAAAAAAAATGTTTTCTCACAGTGGAGGCTTTTAAGGCTACTGTCTCGTGGCAAAATCTATTTAGGTTATGAGGAACTGAGTCTAACCATGGTCCTGCTCTTTATTCCTCTGTACAAATCTACATCTTCACCGGGCAGGTGGATATCTGAAGACCAGGAGGGGAAGGGCTGTTTCCCCACAAAGGCAGAGACTAAAGCGCAGTAATATTTTTCAAATGATTACCTGTTACGGAAATGATCACACACTTAATCAGTCACAGTTGTGATAAACGCGCTGAAGGAGAAACACACAGCAATGTGGGTGTGTAATGACTGTCTGAGCCCATTCAGGGCTGCTGTGACAAAGCACCAGAGACCGGGTGGTCAGAGCCACCATGTCACAGCTTCAGTTCTGTCAACAGACCCTACGACCTGGCAGAGGCCCAGCCTCAGTCTCCCTACCTGGGAGCAAAGAGGTCAGTCTGTCACCTCTGAAAGGGTAGAGCCGACAGTTCTCCAGGGGGTGACCTGGCATGCTGAAACTAGGGCAGCCGGGGAGAACAGGTCAGGACCACCCAGGGTAGAATGATGCGGAAGTTCTGAGGGCTCCCAAACACTCTCCTCTTTCTCTCTTCTCCATCCTCCTTCCTTCCTGCCCCCACCTAAGCCGATCTAAATGAGAATGATATAAATACTAATACTCTACCATTTACTATGTCAGCCATTGGGCAAGCATTATAACATCGAATTCTCAGAGACAGGCACAGTGAGTAGTGTTATTATCCCCATTTTACAGAAAGGAAAACTGAGACTCAGAGAGGTTAAGCAACTTGTCCGTGATGACACAGTGAGAACGTGGCATGCTAGGATTTGTCCCCAGGTCTGTCTGGCTCCGAAGCCTTTGCTATCCTCCCACCGCTACTGTGCCCGTCAGGTCTCTGCATAGGGGGCGGGGTGGGGGAGAAAAGAATTTGCCCCAGGAAAAAACTTCAAGAGCTGGACTCCAGGAATGCCTGAGGGAGCCAGGCCAGTGAGCCGAGCTGCAGGGAGGATATGTCAAGAACTTAAAGCAGAAACCCAATTTTGAAATGTTCTAGGACAAGGCAGGGAAGGGCCCTCTGGAGATGGGGTGGAGATTCCAGTCCATTTAACTGAAGGAGAAGGGGGTGAAGGGACATTAACTTTGCTGGTTGATGGTTAACGTTCCCTCCCAAGGGTATGTGTGATCTATGCCGATGTTTTAAAACAAATTCAACCAAACTAGACTCAGTGTCCCAGGAAGCTAAGGAGACAGCAGTCCTGAAAACTTTGGGGGGGGGGAATAAAAGGATATATTCCAGACAATTTGCCTCCTTTTTGACTCTACTTATCCAAAGCGGATGTCCTCTTATCACAGAAACCCCTCAGGAAGGGTCTTCCAGGCACCTCCATCTGAAGAAATTTGTGTCCTGTGTCTGCATTCTAGGCCTCTTGTCTTGACTGGATCAAAGAGAAAAAACAAAAACAACCCCCGAACTGTTCCCACCGTCATATTAGCTAAACCCACTTTGGCCGCATTCTGGGGTCTGCCTGGGAAAAAAGAAGAATCTGTTACATTAAGACTCTTTGAGTTACATGTGACAAAACCCCAATTCATACTGGCTCAAGCCAAAAAGAGAATGTATTGGCTTACATAATTTAAAAGTCTAGGATTCGGTGTAGCTTCAGGTATGGCTGGATCCGGTGGGGTGGTAGGGGTGGGGGATCTTAGGACTGATTTCCAGTGACCTGGACTGGAGGAGATTTCCTTGGCTGAACCCGTCACGGTGGCTGCAGGGATGTGGTGGTCTGAATGAGTCTCAGTGGTGTGCACTGAAAAGTCGTAAGGGATCATTCGTCATGAGAAACCTGTGGTGCTTTTAGAAGCAAAGTCAGATCAACAGAGAGATCTTCTCAAGTTCTGCCTGATCCAATGAGATCTTAAGAATCTGAACTGTTCTCACCTCTGAGGAACCTTATAAAGCATCTGGGTTGGGGAGGCCAGTATGCGTGCCACCAAAACACTATTCCTCCCTCCTTCAATTCCTGGCAGACATTGCTAATGGATCACAGCACCCTTTCCCAGTGAGCCTCAGACTCTGTCTCAATATCGCTTTGGAAGCAACCCGTGTCCACCAGCTGGTGTTAGAGCAGGAGCCGAAATGATTTTGCAATTTCTCTCCTAAGCGGATGGAGAAAAGGAAACCAAAGCTCTGAGAGTTGTGATTTGCCCAGTGTCACGCAGGAACTCAGGGACCAAACCCTCCTGACTCTGGCCAGCCTCCTTTCCTGTGGGATTCTGCCTGATTTGAGCACTGAGAGGAGGTCTGTCCCTCAGTGGAGATTTCCACTGCAGACAGCTGCGGCACGTGGTAAAGAAATAGACTTGAGGTCAGAGGAAAGCCAGAAAGCTCGGCCACTGACCCAGCTCTTGCTGAGAATATCCCCTGGAGCTGAGTGCAGCTTGGTGGGCAGGACGATTGGTGGGGAGCCCACGAGTCAAACCACTTGTCCATCCACAGAGATCTCAACGGGCTTTTGGTGCCCTACCTTACGTATAGTAAAACTCGGGAACGTGCTCTACTAGACACGCGTTCTCAATGGGAGGTGATGCTGAAATTATTCCCTCCTGGGGACGGGGATCAGGGTTGTCTTAGAGGGAAGGAGAAACGGCTAAGAAGCCAGAAAGTGGAGAGTAAGTCCTGACATAGCTATTATTCTCCCAGCTCAGCGTCACCCAATCGCAGCAAGAAAATACGTGTCAAACAGCCAGCTGATTGTTGGGCCGTAGGGAGGTACGGAAGGCAGGTCCTGACCTCAAGGAGCCTACGGTGATGTATGGGATATGAACTTAGTAATTTGTGTGGACTGACGTTGGGCTCGCCGTGTGCCTCTCACTAAGCTAAGAGCTTTGCCTGCATTATCTTAACTCAAATTCCCATGACCACCTGGAGGAGGCAGTGGAGATTTTCCTTATGAACAGACACTGAACCAGAGGCTTAGAGAGAGGGAGCCGCGCTGCCTGTGGCCACCCTGCCCATGGCCACCCTTGAGTGAGGGCAGAGCCGGGCTCCTGGTCAGGCCTGCCTGACCCTGGCTCTGACCGAGCCACACGCCCTGGACTGGCAGACGTGGTGAAGAGGAGCAGAACGGAATGTGTGAGCCGCTGGAGATCCATTAGGCCCGTTGCCCCCAGCAGCAGTGTGCAGGGTGCTGGTGGGCTCAGAGAAGCACGCGCTCGTTCCCAGAAAGCACAGGTGTGCCCTTGGGGAAACGTCACCGGGGAGGCTGAGTAATGTAACTAAATGCCAGTCGTGACATTAAGCTTGTGGCCCACAGAAAGGTGCAGTCGGTTTGAAAACTTCGGATCTAGAACAAGCCCCCCACTGTACAGGTGAGAAAACTGAGGCTCAGGAAGGAGAATTGACTTCCCCCAAGTTGCACGGCCATGAGCAGTGGGGGCCAGGACTTGAATCTGTATCGGGGTCCCAGTTGAGCCAACTCCCCTGGGGGCCCATGGGAAATAATAGGAACCAAACCGTGGCAGGGCAGTGATGTAGCACCCAAAAGAGGGTGCTGGGGGGGCCCGGATGGAGAAACACCTGAGGGTGCTGTGCCTCACCACCTACAACAGATCCCCCGGGGTGAGGTGGGGGGGACGGCAGTGATGACGGCAGCGCCTACGATGGCCACCACCTGAGCTCAAACCCAGGCCTGGGACCCGGCACTTAAAAAAAGTACCCGATTTCACAGATGTGGCCAATTATTATTGCTTCTTTATTTCCTTTGGAAATTTACTTTTAATACGTTTTGGCTTTCCCCGTCCTCAGCGGGGTCTGGCCCTAATCAAGGCAGCCTGACTGATGACAAAAGCAGAGGCTCCCAGGTAGGCTGCACACACCCACACCTCCGGTGGGTCTGGCAGAGGCTGGAGGGAGAGTCCAGTTTGCAGCTAATCCTTTTTGCATCAGCAGTCAGCTCCTCGGAGCCTCTGGAGGGGCTGCTGACTGTGGAACCAGCTGGAAGGGAAATGCGAGGGCAGATGTGGCCACAGACAAAGGCCCGAAGTCGGCAGAGCTTCGCTGCAGCGTTTTGGAAAAGGTGCCACACCTGGAGCCCATTAGATGCCGATTCGCATCCCAGAACTACCACTGACCGCCGAGCCGCTCTGCCTGGACGAGACTGGGTTCAGCCCCAGGAGCGTCCTGAGCGCTGGGGCCCTGTCTGCTGAGTGACTACTATTTGTCCCTGTTGTCAGCTAAACTCGCTGTGGACAACAGCTATTCTGCGGGGGCCAGGGGAAACGGAAGACATATTTCTCCCCCTTCTCTCCCAGGCCCCTGACCTGCCGTTCAGCTTCAGGAGTTCCGGGCTTCACCCTTTGTCCAGGACCTTCAGAGAGATTGTGATAACAGCAGTTCTGAAGCTGAGAAGGGGTCGTCGTGAGGACAGCGTGTTCCTGTAGCAAAACCCTCCTCACCTCCTTGCCCCTCCTCCAAGTGCTACAGAGGAGCTTGTCATTAGGGACATTCAGAGACACAGCTTTGAATCCTAACTGTCTCAAAGGGCTTCTACCTGCTTTGGCGTGGTGTGTTTGCGTTCTCTGGATCATAAATCTACTGTAAGTATTCTAGGTAAGAAGGGGACGACTTGGACGGTTACAGAGATGTTCCTTTTGATTATACAAAACAAAACAAACACCAAACTCCAGAAAATCTAATAAAACTAATTTGAAGAAAGATTTGTTGGGTCATGTATGGAAAAGTCCAGTGGTAGCATAGGTTTTAGGTGAAGCTTGATCCAGTCACTCAACATTGTCACAGGGATCCAGACTGCCACAGCACCTGTCCCTCTTCCACATACATCTGTGTGTGTGTGCTCCCGGAATGGCCATTCCAACTCCAAATATCCATGACCCTTAAGCTCAAGTATCTGCACCAACATGTCCTTCCATGTCTCTTCATTTGTATTACTGAGGGAGGGAATCAGATGTCCAGGCTCATCCTTTCAGGCCAAGCACCAGAAGTTGTATGTTTCTGGCCAGTGAGTGGATGGTCTCTCCTGGGTCCAGTTTCCAACACTTATTCAGTCATCAGTGGCCAGACCACGAAGGTCACATGGTTGTTCCAACCCGGTGGAGGCCAGATGTCTGAGAAGGGGTCTTGGACCAGTCAACCACCCCGACACCTTCCCAGAGAAGTGGGTACCCACACGCTGAGTCCCATGAGTCTCCGAAGATTCTGCAATTTCTCCCTGGCCTGAAGATTATCTGGAGTCCTCTTTTGTTCTTAACTAGTAATTTTAGGAAAATTTTAAGATTGGTTCTGGTTAGAATTTTTTTCCCAAGCTTTTTCTTGAGGCTCTGTTTCTGGTTCATTCAGGAGGAGAATTTCAGACTTGGTTCAGGAAATAGTGTTAATCACTGTTCCTGAGAAATCTGTCAGTCACCACGTGTGTCCACCATCAGCAAGCCCAGGATTATCCTCAGTTGGCTGTTGACAGGCAACTGGGCTGCTTCTTCAAACAAACCCTGCATTATTTTATACTTTCATACCAGGAAAAAGGTTTGATCTTCAAAACAATGTACTCACGTCATCGATTAGGCTGGAAGAACTTGTTTGGCCAAATTTAGAACCTACAAGAAGATCAGAGAATAAATTTAGAACTGAACTCTGCACCCTGAGGGCCAACAGCTCCATCTGGCACTGGGTGCCTGCTAACTCCACCTGCTACCTTGAGTTTGGTTGAATTTTTCCCTCTGATTATGTGTCTACAGAATTCTTGTAGGATAACATAGTCTTTAAGGGCACGACCTGGCATCTAAAGCCTGTCTTTACTACTTCATAAGCTGTGTGACTCTGGGAACGTGTTTCATCACCTGATCCTTAGTTTCATCATCTTTTAAAGAAGGGGGGAGGGTAATAATAGCATCTACCTCACAAGATGTTACAAAAATTGATTAAGATATTTTTGTGTGGGACTTCCCTGGTGGCGCAGTGGTTAAGAATCCGCCTGCCAATGCAGGGGACACAGGTTCAAGCCCTGGTTCGGGAAGATACCACATGCCGCAGAGCAGCTAAGCCCATGCGCCACAACTACTGAGCCCACGTGCCACAACTACTGAAGCCCGCGAGCCTAGAGCCCGTGCTCCGCAACAAGGGAAGCCACGACAATGAGAAGCCCACACACCGCAACGAAGAGTAGCCCCCGCTCACTGCAACTAGAGAAAGCCCGCACGCAGCAACAAAGACCCAACAGAGCCATAAATAAATAAATTTATTTTTAAAAAAAGAAAGATATTTTGACGTGGTAAAATATATATAACACAAAATTTACCATTTTGATTTTTTTTGGGGGGGGGGGTACGTGGGCCTCTCACTGTCGTGGCCTCTCCCGTTGCGGAGCACAGGCTCCGGACGCGCAGGCTCAGTGGCCATGGCTCGCGGGCCTAGCCACTCCACAGCATGTGGGATCTTCCCGGACCGAGGCATGAACCCACGTCCCCTGCATCGGCAGGCGGACTCTCAACCACTGCGCCACCAGGGAAGCCCCACTTTGATCATTTTTAAGTGTATGGTTCTGTGGGATCACATACATTCACACCGTTGTGTTCAATCATCACCACCATTCATCTTCAGAATTGTGTCATCTTCCCCAACTGAAACTCTCTACCCATTAATCAATAACTTCTCATTCCCCCTGCACCAGCCCATGGTAGCCACCATTTTAATTTCTGTCTCTATGAATTTGATTACTTTAGGAACCTCATGTAAGTGGAATCGGACAATACTTGTCCTTTTGTGACTGGTTTATTTCACTCAGCATAATGTCTTCAAGGTTCATCCATTGTGTAGCATGTGTCAGAATTTCTTTCCTTTTTAAAGCTGAAGAATATTCTATTATATGGATAGGCCACATTTTTGTTTATCCATTCATCTGTCAATGGACACTTGGCTTGCTTCCCCCTTTTGGTGACTGTGAATAAATGCTACTATGAACACAGGTGTACAAATATCTGTTCAAGCCCCAGCTTCCACTTCTTATCCAGAGTTTGATTAAGATATTGATATTTTATGGAGAGCCCTTAGTCCATGTGTGGCATATAGTAAGCATTCAACATATTGTAGCTGATAAAATCAGTATTAGAAAAATAGTGGGCAAAATTTTTAAAAATGCAAATTAAAGAAGGCGGTGAAATTTTTGCTTATCAAATTAGCAACAACTAAAAGGTAATAATCCTCAGTGCAGCTGGGACGTGGTGAGATGGACTGTGTCATACACATCTGTGGGAAATCTTTCCGGAAACAACTTGCAGGGCTAAATCTGATATATTGAGGTTCTCAGAAGTGTTCATACCATTTGACCCAATAATTACACTTCTGAGAATTCATCCCAAAGAACTTCAATTGCAGACCAAGATTTGACACTGCAGAAGTTTGTCACAGCAATCTTTGTGATATTGTGGAAGCATCCTCTATTTCTGTTCGTAGAGAATCGTGAAAAAAAATATTGCCGGTGTAGTCCTGCAATGAGCTATTTTGTAGTCATTAAAAATGCCGATGAGAATAGTGAAATGAGGAGATGTACATGCTATACTCTTTCATGAAAAAGAAGGTATAAATATTGTATATATTGATCCTGTACCATTTATTGAGCATTTACTATGTGCTGGAAACTCTGCTAAGTTCTTTACATACTTTCTTGTTTACTCCTCCCCATAAGCCAAAGAGGTGGGTGCTATTAGTACTCCATTTTACAGATGAGGAAACAGAGGTTCCAAGTGGTGACGTGACTCTCAGGGTCACACAGTCAGCAAGAGGCAGAGCTGGGATTCCAACCCAGGCCCCTCGGCTCCGAAGAGTAGAAAAGGAATGGAAAGAACACGGTGCACTAAAAGATAATCATGCTCCTTGGAAGAGTAGGAGTGAGCTAGTTTTACTTGCTTCCTCATGCTTGTCTGTACTTTTTTCCCGCAAACCGGAGTGGGGTGTGGGGAGAGCATATCAGATAGAAAGGGAAGGAGAGAGGCAATTGCCCCTTGCAAGGCAAGAACTCAGTTTGTGTCTATTTTTTTTTCTGGTGAAAGTAGAGCAGAGTGTCCTGGCTGTGTCTTCTGGCTGATTGCTTAATAATCGTGGACACATACACACACACACACACACACACACACACACACGACAGAAGAGACAAAAACCAGCAGTAGCCAAAACTCTGCTAGATCGATGTAGACTGTTACACGCGCAGCTTTCCAAAAAGCAGAGCTCAGTGAAATAAATATTTTTCCTGTGAGAAGAGGCTTAAGTTGGCGATCTTAACAACCCTCCAATTCATTCCAGATCTTCTCCGAGTGGCTCGCGTCAATGCACCCATCTTGATGTACTTAGGATCACTTAGTAACTGCAGTGTACCTGAGTGTCTGCCGGGCTTCTCCGGCTTGGCAGTGTGCCAGAGTGCTGGGCAAGGGGGCAAGGAGGGGTTTGGCCCTGGAGAATGCTCTCCCCACTCCTCGAGCCCCCCATAACTTCTTGGGGTCCCCAACTTTCTTTTCCTGGTAAACCATCACATTTAATCTAAACTGGAGGCCTGAGAATTCAAACACTTTTCTTGGCAAAGGCTCCATTCCTTTAGTCCTGGAGAGAATCTGCAGGAAGAATTTAGAATCAGGGACTTTGGAAACATATACACATGAAAAAGTCTGGGCTATCTTAAAAACTGACAGCTTCACTGTCCAGGCAAAAATGTATTGATGGATGGATTCATTAATTCACCTGCTCACTCAACAATTGTTTATTGGGCCATCTCCTATGTGTAAGATTTGATACAAAGTTAGTGTAAGATAGTACAGAGTTGCTGGACGTACAAGATTCATCCAACCATCCGTCCATCCATTCAACCAGCAGATTTACTGAAGCCTCCTAGGTGCCAGGCACCTTCTGGGGATGCTGGGCCATTAGCAGGAGACTGCTTCTTAGAGCTTGCATTCTAGCTGGGGTGACAGACAGACAAGGAAAATGTAGCATATAGAATAGCAGATGGTATTAAAGGCTAAAGAGAAAAGTAAAGCCGGGATGGGGAAAGGGGGGCAGAGGTGGTCCCACTTAGATGAGGGGCCAGGAAAGGAGGTGTTAAGCCACAATTTGTGGGAGATGAGGGAAGATGATTCAGGAGGCACAGAAATTAAATAACAGTGACTCACGGATCACGTGCAAGTCCCGTTTCAGGTATCTTTCAGTCCCGATTATGCCGAGAAAGTCTCTACTTGTTAATATGTTTTTGATGCCTCCCAAAGACCCACTAATCTCCCCCTTGGAAGCACAGAGGCTCAGCAGGCAAGCATGCCTACTGGCCCTTGAACTTGGCTTTGTGTTCAGTGTGAATATTTTGCAGTTACTGTTTATATTACTATTGATGGGGAATGACACTGGCTCTTCATTTACAGTTATGAGAAGCATCTTTCTAATTTCATCTATGTTTTGAAAAGTGAGCTGATTTTATTTATTTTTAAAAATTTTATTTATTTATTTAGTTTTGGCTGTATTGGGTCTTCCTTGCCACGCGCGGGCTTTCTCTAGTTGCGGCGAGCCGGGGGCTACCCTTTGTTGCGGTGTGCGGGCTTCTCAT